GGGGAACTGTTCAGAAGAAAAAAAAATGTTATTGAATTTTGTTCCTATCAATCGCTTATTAGCTTGTCTATTTGATATTTGATTGACTTTTACAGTGTCAAATTCTTCTCTCTCTCAATTTAGTATATCTGTGTGTATTGTAGTGTGCGTGTATGCATATATTTGAATGTGCTTATGCATGAATATACATACCTCATGGATATTCATAAATATTTTATATGTATGCATTCAAAATCAAGTCACAGTGATTCACTTACTCCTAAAGATATTCGCCGAGACCTTCGAGTTCACCACCCCCAGGGAGAGGGAGAGGGAGAGATGAGCCTCAGGAGGAGAGGAGAGACCAGCCTCAGGGAGAGGAGAGGAAGAGGAAGGGCCTCCGATGAAACCATGTTGCACAACAGAGCAACTGCAAGCAACTGCAAAAGCATCTTAATGCCAGTCTGTTTCATGGTAGAGGGAATGCTGTTCAACTCTTCTGCCTTCGCAAACACCACGAGTCAAGTGTGGCTGTTGGAGAAAGCTTCCGGCTTTTTATGTGTCGTCCTTTGCTTCCCTTCTCTGGCGATGAGTTGCCACTTTTCTTATTTCTTGCTTTGTGTCTAGAACTGTCTTTCCAGCATCCTTATGCAGGATATCCTATGCAGGGAACAGTGTGAGACTGCTTTGTTATTTAGTCATTAAAGAATCAATGCAATGGGAATAGGCGAGAAAATATCAAATAAAAGGAGACAATTTCATCTTCGAGATCAATCATTTCATGTCGCTGATATAAGTAATCATCGTGTTTAGTATTCAAACACAGATTAATTAGCATGATTTCCTAACAGGGACTCCAAACAATGGAAGACTGCTTTCCCAATATATATATATATATATATATATATATATATATATATATATATAAACTGATCAAAACCTGGCGTAAATTCCTTAGATAAAAAAAGGCATACACGCACACACTCATGTACATGTACCCACACACATACACAAGTGTTTTCACACATTTACAAACAAGCCCATACACACGCATATACAAACACATGTACATGTACTTATAAACCTATGTCTTGTTTACAGAAATATAGAATTAAGTATATCAATCCATTTCCTCTCTTAACTAAGTATTACAGAACCAATTTCAATCTCTCTTGCTCTCACTGTCTCTATCAACTGTCTGTTTCTTTTTCTCTCTCCCTCGCTGGCTGCTTTTGTGTCTTTGTCTGTATTTCAGTTTCTTTTCACCTCCATCGCCACTGCTGATATCATTCTCTACTGTTTCAGATACGTGTACTGATCTACAAGTTTCCCTTATACGTACATTCCACTCTCAATGTCTAACACACATTTAATCGTAACCTGTATATCTTCCCACTTTCAAGTTTCGCAGGTCTAGCTTCTTTCTAATTCCCAACTTCACAGATATACTTTTTACACATACATATGTCCATACAAGATATGTTCCATTTATTATAACGACCATTTGGAGCTCACGCCAGTTATATGCCAAGGGTCAAACATCGCCCCATCCTTACGCTAAATCTATAATTACCGCTTAACCATTATCTCACATGTTTTGCAGTATCCCTCGGGTGACCTCGGAAAAAATATCTCGCATAGGTTATACCATGCGGGTGTTTTATCAGTAAATCTACCATCAATTTTTGATCGATCTGTTTGTGTATAACACTTTTCTCCTTATCTTTAATGATCGCTATCAATTTCTTTATCGGCCAAGAAGTGTGGGAGATAAGCATCCAATCTCTCCCCTTTATTTTCTAATACTATCGTTCTAAACTGAGAACTTCGCTTTCACTTTCTCTCGTTAAGTGCATGTATAACCTGTATAGTTTGAGCAAATATGTCGTAAAATGCAGGATTTATATAGTATGAAAAATATTTATGTGATACTCATATACAGACCAATATGTAGGAATATATTCTTGTGTATGCCTATTACTATAACGGTCACAGAAACATTTTAACCATTAATATTTTATTCAATAAAACAATGAACAAATGGCATATCATTCTGTAAATCTTAGCAATACACATAATAATTGAAATAAGCAATATTCGCAAATAATTCAATTCATATCTCAGGTTATTTCTATATACCCTCCCTTTTCCTATTAATTAGAAATCAAATTATATTAATAAGTAAAATAAAAATATACGTGAAACGAAATCGAGACCCTCACGCCCAGTCTATCACTATGCTTTCCATGATTTTTCCTAGGATATAAGCATATCATTTCCCTTCTTTTAAACTTTACGATTTCCCTCTCTTACTCTTCACTCTAATAACTTACTTCTCAAACTATCCATTGATACTACTGGAACTGTCACCAGCGAGTACTTTCGTCACTGTATCCACGGACCACTAAAATAACTAAATAAACAATAGATATTCTTTCTCAAATATGTTTTGTTATATTATGTTCTGTATATACATGTGTATGTATGTATGCATGTGTATATGTCTGTGTGTGTGTGTGTAACAGTGATGACTTTACCTTGGAATACATACAAGGGATGCCTCAATCGACAGCCAATCCACGCATACATAGATATTTTCCTGTAACTGTATACACGCAAATAAAGTTTTAATTCAGCATAAAATGACCTATGCCATTTTTTTTTACAGGCGCCGTAGGTAAAGTTTTTTTTTTTTTTTCAACGGAAAGGGTTTGATATGTAACTGGAGTTTTGCATTCTCTTCAAATCACGAGGGATTTAGTCAGGAAACAATTACCACGTTCGGTGATTTACCTGTTCTTTCTTCTTTTAACATTGGATAAAAGTGAATAGGTTGGTGGAATATAATCTGTATTGATTAGTAGGTGATATATAATTTATATTGATTTCTACCTTGAAGTAAGAAATGATGAGAAGTTTTATTTGGTTTCTTTTGTCCTTTAAGAACTGTGGGCTGATTGTCAAGATAATGCTACCCACATAGCACGATACGGATCAAGCATGAAGGAGAAGGAAGATGCTGATCAAGATTGTATATGTGCGGTTTCGAGTGAATGAACGTTGAAAATATGGAACTTGGTGAACTGTGTAGTGAAGTGACAAATGAACGTGAAGGTTATAGCCCTATGCATTCATTTTCGCATTATTCCTTTGTGTGTTTATTTAATGTGTATGTACTTCGTATAGTACATAGTACATGGTATTACGTCTTTCCATGCCACACATCAGGTGCAAAATCCTCTCATTCAAAAACGGTGTCTTAACTGTGCCGGTAAACACTCACTATAATAATCATCATCACACAACATGCATTGTCGTTGGTGGTTTTTTCGGCTATAACTTCATAACAAGCCAAAATGGTCAGCGAAACTACCGTAGCAACTACAAGCATTTATTCAGATTCAGGAGAACTGGTAGAGGGCCGTGATCAGCTGTTCAAGGTGACGAAAGGCAGATCTCAGGCATCGCTTGGTTTGGGGAACTGTTCAGAAGAAAAGACATATTTGTTATTGAATTGCATTATGTCGTTAAAGATTATGTGTGTGTGCTCCCTACTCGGTTCACACGCCCACAGGTCCGTGTGCATAACCGCGCATTGTGTTCGGCAGGAAGGTCCTGAGTGATAGGCCCAGGAAGAGCGACGGGAAGAGGAAGAGCAACCCACGCGACCATGTTGCACACCAGAGCAACTGCAAGCAACTGCAAAAGCATCTTATTGTCAGTCTCTTTCATGGTGGAGGCGAACGCCATTCAACTCTTCTGCCTTCGCAAACACCGCTGTTGGAGAAAAGATCCATTCCATTATCAGTGAAGTTAATGGCAAAATATCTGATAAACGTTGTTACTAGCAGTCCTTTGGATTAGTTTAATATCACAGCTAATCTAAGGCCCTCTGGTGTCTATAATTCAGTAAAAGACGTTATTCAACGCAATAGATAAAGATGAATAACACTTATCATTAATGTTTTGCTCTGTTTTTTTCTGATACCCTCTCTTCCTCAGTCATATATATATATATATATATATATATATATTATATATATATATATAATATATGTATTATATTATGTATTTATGTATATATTATACATATGTGTATATATATGTATATGTATGAATACATATATATATATATATATATATTGTATTATATATATGTATATATATATATTATATATATGATATATATTATATATATATATATATATTATACATATATATATAAATTCATATATATATTACATATACATACACATAATTTCTGCTTTTTCTCTGTTGGAGCTCGAGGGATGAAAAAGAATGCACGTGCCAAGAGTTCGACTTAGAAAAAAGAGGATGTTACATTATCCGCTCTTGCTTGTCGCACATTATAAGTACTTTCTAGGGCGATGTTTTTTATCACGCCTCAGAACCCTGCGCCCCCTCCCCTCCCCTCCCCCTCCCTATCCTCTCCCTCTCCGATCTCCTCTCCTCCAACCCCCTTTCCATCCTCCCCCATACCCCTTTTCCCGTTCGATCCCCTCCCCTAGCTCCCTACTCCCCCCCCTCCTCCCTCCTTACACCCCACCCCAAGTCTCACCCCCTTTAACCCTATCCTTAAAAAAGAAAAAGGCGATGCATGACCAACTACTCTGACCTCTACTCTACCTCAATCACGTCGAGTGTGTGACCTGTTCTTTATCCTGGTCATGTGTGAGAGGGGGTGAGGGGGGAAGGGGAGGGTGGGGAGGGTTGGTGGTAGGGTGGGAGGAAGGGTGGGCATTGGGAGGGAGGGAGACAGTGAGAAAGGAGGAGAGGGGAGAGGGAGAGATTCGCCTACCCCAAGAAAACACGCACCCTTATAAAAATTTTGAACGAGTGGTCAACCATCTCTCTATCTATTTCTGTTCTCAAGATATTTTGTTTCTAAATTTGTCGTACCTCTATATGTATATATGCATGTCTGCATATACGTCCCAAAACGGTCGGGTGGGACCCCCCTTGTATCTCGGCTTCTCTTGGGCCGATTCCAATGAACCTTGCTACTCTTGAACATTGGCCAGACTAGGTTCAGACCCCAAGGTTTCGTGTTCCTGCCTAGTCTGGAACCCTTTTTCTAGAACCCTCAAAACGCGCCATTTGCCATAAACGTGTATCTGCACTGGCACCGGCTTCATGTGGAAGTTCTTGGATCTGGCTTTTCGTAGTTTTTTGCTATCTGGCT